GACTATTACGCAACTTCTCCTTTGGTATTGGAAATGAGATACTTGTTAGCGTCATGATCCTGTTCATTGTTTAAAAAAAATACTATATGACATTAGAGAACCTTGGGGATTCTTTCCTTTGAGACACAACCTCAAGTCTTTTAAATAAAACAATATTAGAGAGGGGAGCTAAGGTGGTGGAGTAGTAGGAGGACTCTAGGCTTCCCTCATCCCTCGAACACGGCTAGATAAATATCAAATCATTCTGAACACCCAAGACAGCGATCTGAGGACTGACAGAACAAACTACATAATGAGAGGGAGAGAAGAGGTCACATCATGGAAGATGGGAGTTGCAGAGGTGTGATCTGGGGGAGAAAAGCATTGCAAGTGCTGCAGAGGGGAGGGAGCCCTGGTTACGGAGACAAGTGATAGAGAGAGAGAGAGAGGCAGAGGGAAAGAGGTGCACACAGGGGGTTGCACAAGGAAAACACTTCCCCAAAGCCACTGACTGGGAAAACGAGATGAGTTGATGATAGTGAGTTTTTACAACCAGCAGAGCTCAAAGACTGGAGTTTTAGAAGCCTGCGGCGTGGCTGGTCTGGAGCCTGACAGGTATAGCGGTAGTTCTGTGGAGAAGGAGGGCAGATAACCCGGAAGGTGACGGTGTAATCTGAGGATCTCCTGGGACACACTGGGAAAGAGGGTTCTCGCTTCTTAGAGAGCATCTGGGAGAAGTGGCATTGTCTCTGAGGGGACAAAAGAGCCTGGAGTTTGGAGTCAAGTGCAGCCAAAAGCCAGCGTCAAGGTTAGTGGCCCTCAGGAGGTGTCTCTGTCACTAGGCTAAGGGGCAGGGGAGCACAATGGTGTGGCTTCCTTTCTGGGATAGGCTTCATCAGTCCCAGCATGGGAGACCCTCCCCCAAGAGATCAGCTGCCACGCCACGTCCCTAAAGTTTGTAGTTTTGAAACTTGGCCGGTGTGCCTGGCATAGGACACAGGTGCACTGCCCTGCTTGTGGGGGGGGGGGGGGTGCGGCAGACAGCCTGGACACTGACAGGGTGAAGGCAGGGGTCTGAGGGATGCCTGGGACACACGAGGGGAGATTGTTCACTCTTCTGCGAGGGCTTCCCAGACAGGGGCAGTGCAAAGTCCCTTCTTTGGGGAGGAGGGAGTGGGCTGAAGCCATTTTTACCCCCCACCCATCAGCGGGGACTGACTTCAGGGAGCAGCGCGGTGGAGGCCTGAGCCCCTTACACCTCACCCCACCCCTGCACTCTGCAGGTGCTTCTTCACAGGGCAAGTGTGCCTGAGAACCAGAGCCGCGGGCCCCCTGCTAGAACCAGCACAAACCCCCACACGCACCAAGTCTACTGACCCTCGAGGGCTGTAAACTTCAGCTCTAGTGGAAATAGCAGGAGGTCCCTTTAACAAGTAGACCCAAGCACACGCAGTTAAAAGTTAAAACAGACTCTGGCCAAGGTCCAAACACTCCCCACTGCAGGCAAGGAGAAACTCAGCAGAAGCCTGACTTGAGAGAGAGAGCAGTCAAACCACAGCCACAGAGGGCACCGGGCACACCCCAGAGACACCGCCTCAAGCTCCCGGGGCCGGGCCGGACAGGATATTACCTCCTCTTTATAAAGCCATTTCTCTCAGGAGCAGGTAACATAACAGGTTTCCTTTCCTTTGTTTTTGTTTTTGTTTGTTTTTTTTTTGATTATACATGTATTTAATGTCATTTTATTTTTTCTTCATTTTTTAATTTAAATTCAATTAGTTAACATACAGTGTATTATTAGTTTCAGACATAATTTAGTGATTCATCAGTTGCATATAATACCCAGTTCTCATTACATCACGTGCCCTCCTTAATGCCCATCACCCAGTTACCCCATCCCCCACCACCATCCCCTCCAGCAACCCTCAGTCTCCTATGATTAAGAGTCTCTTAATAGTTTGTCTCCCTCTCTGATTTCCCTTATTTTATTTTTCCCTTGCCTTCCCCTTTGATTAGATTTTAGTTCTTTTATTTCTCCAGAAAGGGATTCTCTAGTGTCTTCTATGCTTTTTTTAAGCCCAACTAAGTGTCTTTCTCATCCTTATTCTGAACTCTAGTTCTGACATATGACTTATATCCATGCTGATTAGGTCCCTGGCAGTCAGTACTGCCTCTCGTTCTCTTTTCTGAGGTGAGTTTTTCCGTCTTGTCCTTCTGTCCAGAGAAGAATAGATGAACAAGAGAACAAAGTACTAAAATGGCAACAACGACCCCAAAATATGGAACTCTTCATGAATTTGCACGTCATCCTTGTGCAGGGGCTATGCTAACCTTCTCTCTATTGTTCCAATTTTAGTATATGTGCTGCTGAAGCAAATACCAGGTTGATATTCTTACTCTGGACTCAGTTGTGAGGACCCACAGAAGGGAAGAGAGGATGATTAATTTAGTCTGGGGATGTGGGATGGTTAATTTTGTCTGACCACTTAGTATTTTGGATGAAATTAACATTTAAATTGGTGAACTTCAAGTAAAGGAAAATGTCCTCCAGGACATTGCTGGGCCTTGTCAAATCAGTTGAAGGCCTAAAGAGAACAAGAAGAATGACTTCCCCCCCAAAAGAGGGAATTCTCCCACAGACTGCCTTCAGATTCCGTCTGCACCATTGAGTCTCCTGGGCATCAGTATGCTGGCCCACGCTGCAGATGTCGAGTTGATGGCCTCCACAGGCACATGAGTCAATCCCTTATCATCTCTCTGCCTGTCTACACGTCATACTGGTTCTATTTCTCTGGAGAAGTCTGACTAAAAAGAGGGGTAAGGAAGATTAATGGCAGGTGATATTTGTGCTCAGCTTTCACGGGGCACTGGCTGTTGGCCCGTGTGATCCAGAACATCTGACAGAGGAAGATTCTAGAACAGAAAGCCTGGAGGCTGATGGTGAGAACCTTAGGGTTTTGGAGAGGAAGAGATTTCAGGAGGCGAAATGGGCCAAGGAGGTTGTGTGGGAAATCCCTTAGCAGTCATGAGTTTCAAGCAGAAAAATCATTGGGAACACATTGTCCACAGAAGGCTTAGGGGGTGATTCAGTTGCCTGCCATCTCCACCAAAGTGAGGGTCGGGGTCTGTAGAGATTAAGTGTGTGCACGTCCCAATTCCGGTCCTCAGCTGCTCTCCTCTCTAGAAGGGCCTGGGCTGACCATGCTGATGAGGTAGAGGAGGGAGAGGCTGCCGAAGACTGGAGCGCAGAGAGGGAGAAGGAAACAAAGAAGGAGGACCTGCCTTTAAAAAAATGACCAGGAGCTTTTTGGAGTCTTTTACCTTGTTACATCAAATTCTGAAATTGAAGTATTTCTTATGTCCCCATTTTTCAGAACCATACAAATTTTTGAAACAAGCCTAAACTTCTAAAGACGTTGTAAGTCTTGTACCAAACACTTTTCTTCCTGAACCGTATGACAGTGAGCTGTCACACTGATGTCCTCCCAGTTTCCGTGATGTCCTCTGACACCACACACTTTAGGATGTATTTCCCACAAACCAGGACATTCTCCTGGGTCACCATCATCTCCTAGTAGGTCTCACAGTACCTGAATGCCTCCTCGTCCTCAAACTCTGCTTCAAGTTGTTCCAGCAATGCCCAATACGGTCAAAGAGATCAATGGACATAGGTGTTTTCCATTTCCTGGATGTGCTGAAGATGAGGGTTTTGGTTGATTTGTTTAATTTTTAAATGTAGGTGAAGAGATTTAGATTTAGGAGGCCACTGTGAGTGTATGTTGTCCAGAATTTCTCAAATATATATTTGAAAGCTTTGTTCATCTGGTGTTTTGACCCATCTTTTTTTTTTTTTAAAGATTTTATTTATTTATTTGACAGAGAGAGACACAGCGAGAGAGGGAACACAAGCAGGGGGAGTGGGAGAGGGAGAAGCAGGCTTCCCGCGGAGCAGGGAGCCCGATGCGGGGCTCGATCCCAGGAGCCTGGGATCATGACCTGAGCCGAAGGCAGACGCTTAACGACTGAGCCACTCAGGCACCCCGACCCATCTTTGTGTCATTTTTTGACAGTAGTTCAGATTACTTAGTCTTAAATAGAGAGAAATTGAAATCTCCTAACATATTTATATATTGTACATCAGCTGGATATATTACTAAGTTTTTGCTATGACACATAGCCCTACAGTAAACAACCATACATCTCCATTGCTTTTTGGTTCCCATGTGTTTCTAGCCTGAAACTAACACCAGGATTACCATGCAGTAGGATGAACACATCAACCACTGTCTGGATAGGGTGAAATATAGGGCAAATGAGTGATTACATTTAAACTCCTACTAACAAGTGAGAAAACTCGTTATTCCATTTCCTGGTCAGCACTTGCTATAGCTATGTTTAAAATTTTGTCAGTTTGATGTGTGTGTAAGGCATCCTGTTGTTCTTCTTTATCTTGATTATTTGGGATATGTTCAATGATTTCATAGGCTGATTTACCATCTGTTGCCTGCTCTAAGCATTTGCACAAATCTTAGGAGAACTACACTTCTTATTTATTCACAGGAGCTCTTTGTATATATTGGATACCGATCCTTTGTTCAGAGGGGAATAGATCAACGGTTAGAAGCAGATCTGTTTCTGCTGTGAAGACTCACTGTGCACTGAAGGAGGATGACAGGAGAGACAGTGCTGTGGTGGGGGACCCAGGGAAATCAGGAAGATTCTCAATTGCTTCATTCCCAGAATATCTGTTAAATGCCGACATGTCAGGATCATATTTGACACTGACAGATGACTGCCTGAAAGTTGACTTCTGAGTGATCTTTAAATTCTCTGTCTCCACAAGAAATCTAGCAGAATCACACTTATATTTACCCCATACAGTGGAGGAAAAACAAAATTCCATGAGTTCTTATGGGATATAAAACAAATTCCAGATTAATTAAATATTTTATAAGAGATATGCTTCTTTAGATATATGTATATGGAAATAAATTGCTGAAGAAAATAATCACATTATATATTTTTTAAAGATTTTTTAATTCATTTTAGAGAAAGAGAGAGAGTGTGAAAACAAGCAGGGGAAACGCAGAGGGAGAAACACACTCCCCACTGAGCAGGGAACCAGAAACAGGACTCCATCCCAGGACCCTGAGATCATGTCCTAGGCTGAAGGCAGACACCCCACCTACGAGCCACCAAGGCCCCCCAAAACAATCACATTATAAAGTATTCCATTTAAGAGTCAATGAGGTAGTGGGTTGATTTTAAGGAATATAAAGTATAGTTCAATAAAGTATTTTAAAAATTCTAAAAAGTCAGTGAGGACACAGAAAATATCCCTGAGTTTACATAGCTTCAAGGATATTTTTTTGGCAATAATGTCTGCAGGAACAAGGTCATCCTACAGAGAAGATTCTCATATTGCACAAACAAGGGCAAGATGGGAAATGTTCTCTTTGTTGACATTTCTTTGTCAAACATTTAAACATTTCAGCACAAGAATACTATCACCTAGCACCAGAGAGAGAAAGCGGCATAGAATATGCCAAGGGAAAGTGCTGAACAGGAGCGCCACCCAATGCAAGAGGGGACCTGGGAGGTTCCCTGCCCTGCACCACGTGGTCGACTGAGGTCTCTGGATTTGTAAACTCGAGAGCGCTGATGGTCTACAAATGAACAGCAGCTCATCCAAAGGCAGCAGGCCCAAAGGCAGCGTCGTCGCTGAGCTGGTCCCCGCCTCAGGGGCTTCTTGGTGGCCTCAGCAGCCTAAGAAAAGAACAGGTGCTTGTCTCGGTGGCTCAGGAAATCCTGGGTCCCTTGTCCTGGGGCTGCCCTTCACCAGCACTCCCTACCCCAGAGCCCAGCCCTCGCCCAGGGGCATGCATTTCCCCCCAGCCAGGTCCCCAGCCCTGGGTCCGGCCACCTTTACGAACCTCCTCCCTCCTGAACCAAATCACTGAGTCAGCCCCAGGCCCTGTTACCAAGGGTCTGGGCTCAGGACTAAAGTGAGTAAGAAATCAATGTGCTCACATGACTCGCGTTCTAATGCTCCCTCTCATGGCAGGCCCTCAAGGACCTGCTGGGGCATCCGACAGAAGACAGGGGCCTGCCCTTGACACCTCTAACCTTGGGGAACAGGGTGGCCAGAGATCCTTCTTTCCCTTCCCTGCCAGCCTCCTAGCGAGCCGCACACAGAGCTCTTAGTATCATGATCCCTTCCCCCAGCCCATCCCTTCCTGGTCCGGCTCAGCTGGGAGCACACAGGGCAACTCAGTTCCCCCCATCTCCCAGGCCAGCTCTGCTCAAAGCAGGGGCTGCTCAGTGGCTCAGGATCTGAGGTCTGCAGGAAGCTAGCTGCCAGGGACGGCACCAGCCTCAGCCAGGATTCCCACTGTTGCACGGAGAACCGGCCTCCTTCTAGGCCCGTCAGGCACGGTCTCTGCTGTTCACTTCTTCCTTACCTGGGAAGACCCAAGCCACGCTCTGGGGGGACACGGCCCTACTCTCCAGCCCTTTGAGCGGTGTGCAGAGGCCTTCCCACGCCCTCCTCCTGGGGTTAGACGCGGGACCCTCTCCTTGTAACTGCTCGGATGGAGTCCCCTTCTGCTGGACACGTCACATGGAGCTGCCATGCTGCGCTCACTCAAAGGTGAGTCCAGCCCATGCTGTGTGTCCCTGCTGGTCCCACACCACCCACCCTGGGCCCAAGTTGACTCTCTCCAGAGAGCCAGGCCTGAGGTCCCTACATTCCTTTAGCACCAACAGGCCGTAAGCAGTGGTGTGGGCCCCTCGCCTTTCCCAGTGGCCTTAACAGCGAGGCCGTATCAGAACTCAGGGCTGAGCTTGTCCAAGTTGTTGCTAACACGTGATATGAGCTCTCATTCACCCGGTCCCATTGCTGTGTGAGAAGGTTCAGGGAGTGGGCAGGGGTCAGGCTGGGAATTCACCTTTCCCTGGGCTCACCCCAGGCCATTTGCCCTCCCTTCCCTCTCAATCTGCCCTCCGGACCTGTCCCTCTAAAGGAGGCCAACATGGATGCCAATTAGGACTGCGCAGCTGAGGAGCAGGGTGGGGATCCAGGTGCCGGGTCCGATGGCTGTGGTCCTGGCCGGGGCCGTGTCTTGCTTCATGGTTGGTGGCACTGAAATGAAAACGCAAGAGTGAGAGCCCCAGTCCGGACCCCAAACTGGGGGAGGATCCCTCGGGCCTTCTGGCTCAGGTCCACCCTACCAGGCTGATGGGGTCTATCACTCTCCTTGTGGCAGCTGCTGTGACAAGTCCTGCTGTCTTGGGGGGAGGGGAAGGGATGTGCCCTGTCCCCCCGGGGGCTCCTACGGCCAACTGGGAAGCAGGGGTTGCCATGTAACCAATCGCTCCTGCTGTGACAGACAGGAGGTGATGCAGGATAAGGATGGTGACAGCGACCACCTCTCAGGAGCTGACAGTCCGGGTGGCACTGAAGGATTTCCAGCAGCCCACCAGGTGACATGAAAAAGACAATGATCCCTGAAAAAGGGATCAGTAAGAAGATAATCTCTGGCAACAGTCTGATGCCCCCCTGTTTGGGGCCAGCAAGAAATCCAAGAAATACCCAAGGACAAAGGTGTGTGCAGCGAGGAAGTGATTCCAGAAGGTGAGAAGGGAAAGGAAGGATGCTAGAACATTCCTGTAACCATTTTTCTGCCAGGAAGAATTTGCCATGGATGGATCAATTTCTTTCTCTCTCTCAGACAAACCCTCCCCCCCCACCCCACACACAGTGGGAAGGTGGAGCTCATTTCAAGAGAAGCAGCGCTCCATCCAGTCTTCTGAGTTACCTGTTGTCTCCAGCATTTCATCCCAGTGCTCCAGTACTTGCTGGAGCCAGCCCTTACAGTCTCCGTTTGAGATCCTCATGAGGAAGCCAGTCAGCTCTCCGTCACTGTCCAACGTGCCCTGGAACCGCAGGTCCTCAGGAGGCACCATTGTCCAATTTCCGGTCTCCGGGTCAAAGCGGTGGGTTATCTGCTCATTGAAGGCAAACTGCCAGGATCCTTTGGGGTGGCTGTCCGGTCCACACTCATACACCAGCCTGCCCTGCAGGGTGAGAGGATCTGCCCCCCGCGCCCACCATGGGGAACAAGTCAGCCTCTGGTGTTGACCAATCCTTTGCCCCACCTGCTGTGCACTCCTCAGCTCCCCTTCGGCCCTCCCGGTCCTGCTCTGTCCTCCTTGTCGGCCCTGGCTGCTGGGCCGCGTGTGTGGGACCCACTTCTAAGTTTTACATGAACACCCTAGGCCCCCGGCCCTACCAAACTGTTCTCCTTCTGCCCTGGGCCTTCAGACTTACGGCTCTTAGTGAAAATCCCTGTTTTGATGTCCAGCAGTTTCCTTCTGAGCTCTTCCACCAGGTCTTCCAGAGTTTCCTTTTGTCTCTCCCAAAACGCTGTGTCCTTCAGCTTCATCCCCAGAGGACCAACGGGTTTGACCTCCTTGCCCCGACAGTCATAAGAAAGAAACTGGTTTCCATTGACCAGGCCTTGAATCTCACACCATGGTTGTCCAGGCCTGGCCCGAGATGTGATGTTGAAATTGTAGGAAAGAGAGAGAGCATCTGCGAAGGGAAAGCACAGGTGGAGGTTGGGGTTGGAAGACAATGACCGGCAGGCCCCCCTCGGCCATGCACGCGACAGCACTAGAACGTGTGGCAGGCTGGCTAGCTGTCCCTGCACAGCCCCTCCCCCCCAGCGGTAGAGGTGGCGCCCTTCCCGGGTTTGAGGAGGATCAGGATGCCTCGGCCTGGCAGGAAACCACAGAGCCATCGAAAAGGCCCCTGTGTCTACCAGGCTGATACCAGCATCCCTCAGCCTTTGACAGAACAGATATAGCAAGAAATGCGTAAAACAAAACTAAAAACGTGTCCTCCAACTCTGCTCACGGAGAGGTCTGGAGGACTCTTTCTGGCACTCACGAAGACCACACCGTGAGAAAAGCACCCGCGTTGTCAAGAAGCTCAATGACGTCTCTCTGATGGCCCAGCTTGGCGGTAGGAGACGGTGGTGCAGAGATAGGGGCCCAGGAGTAATGGGCTGAAAAATCCCGAAATAAGAGAGTTGAGATACTGGCGCTCAACTGTCAGGAGCCGGGAGGCAGCCATGATTGAACTAATCCTGGAGGTTGGAATGCTGGTCAGGGCCTGCCCCACAGAAAGCTCTCCATCCCTTTGGCTCACAGAACACAGTGATCCTAGAGGCAAGATAGCTGGACAGCCAACCCAGAGGCTGCTAGATTTAAACAATACAAACAAACAAAGACCAAGCCCCAGGATGGATGAGGACGAGGCTGAAAGCAAACACCCAACAGAGAGTCTGGATCCTCTGCCCAGGTTCCAGACCTGAGCCACTTCTCAGAGCTGGAAGCCTTTAGGAGAAGCAGAAGCCGGCTTCCAATCAGGAGGGACCCTTCTGGTCAACAGCAAGAGCAATGCTTCCTACTGGCCTTCCCCAAAGGGTCATGTGGTCATTCGCAGGGCTAGGTTTACACTGGGGAGCAGAGACCATGCAGACATTGTCAGTGGACCTAGTGTGTGAGCTGACATCGTCCTCAGGGATCCTAGTGTTATCATGGCCCCTGTTATTGAAATGGTGCAAGGCATGAGGTGCTGCCGAGAATGAGAAGTCACCTGCCCCAGGTCCTGTTCACAGTGACACCATTGGGTCAGGCACCCATGAAGCGGTCCTTTCACGCTCCCCACATTTGTTACCGGAGTGAAAAATGTTTGTAGTTGAATTACTAGTGGGTTGGGGGCTAGGGGGCAGGGAAATTCAAGTACAATATTCTCACACTGTCTTCTCTTTCCTCCAAATACAATGTTAAAACAGTGCCCTACCCTGGATAGAATGACAGAGTTGAGTACCAACCCTAAAACCTCTGTAAGGATGCAGGGCTGTGAACCCTTTCCTATTTTCATTGAAATGCCAGCCTGGTGCAAAGGTTCTCTGTATATATTAATATTGCATAGGTTTCTGTCGTACCTCCTCGAATCTGGGGCCTTAGCAAAGTGAAGCAGCCATAGACAATATATGGATGAACGAGCGGCTGGACCTGCTTCTTGGGCCATAGGACCCTGTGACACTGTAGGAAAATGTTCTGTGCCCTTTGTCACATCCTAACATTGGAACGTTAGGTAGACACCAACTTGTGATCCACCCAGGCAATGCCACTCGAGGCCGGGAAAGTGAGCCTGTAAGAGGCTGCAGTATGGTCCAGGGACCTGTAGCCAGGAGGCCTCTGGTCAGGGGGTATCCGAGCTGCCCACCCTGAGCTGGGTGGTGCTGGGATGTGGCCGGTGAAGGAGGGCCTGGCGCTGCATGTGCCTTGAACCTTGGCTCAAGTGCCCTGGGACGTCTACCGGTGGACAGCAGTGGGGATGGAGAAGTGACGTGAGTGGCCGAGGCGCGGGGTGGTGTGGGGTCCAGGCCCTGCGGGATCGCCCTGTCCTGCCCACAGCCCGGGGCTCAGGGGCTCAGGGGCTCGGGCTCCGGCCCCCCGAGGGGCAGGCGGGGGCTGGGGGCGACCGCAGACTCCTTGCCGCCCCTCCCCCTGCCCCGCGCGCCCCACGCCCAGAGGTGGCAGTCCGGGGTCGCCCAGGTCGCCTCCTTTCCGTCCAGAGGGCGACAAAGTCCCGGCGGAAAGGAGCCCGCGGCGGGGTTGAGGACGGGACGCCGGCCCCAGCGGGCGACGAGGTTCCCAAAGCCCCGGACTCACGTGTCTCTCGCCCGCTGCTCGCCGCGCCCACGACCGATCCGGCCGCCGCCGCCGCCGCCGCCGTGACCCAGGCCACCAGCAGCAGGACCGGGAGGCCCAGCGTGAACCTGCTGGCGGCAGGGGGCTGCATCGCGACTCGGACCCCGGGGGAGACCAAGTGGAGGCGCGGAGCCGGGGGCCGGAAGGGAGATCGGGCTTCCTGTCGCCGGGCCTGGGTGCGCAGGACACTTGTCTTCTGTACGAGTGTTTCTGGATCTCCGCGCGTACAGCATCCGGAGAAAGTGCGCAGCGATTCTTCCGCTTTTCTTTTTTTTGTATTTGAGACAGAGGAGAGGCAGCGCGAGCACGGGCGGGGGGAGGCAGAGGGAGGAGGAGCGGCCGCAAGTGCCCAGGCTGGCTGACGGAGCGAGGCTTCAGAGGCAGGTCTGGTTTTAATCTTTCTGGGTTTTTTCCCTCTCATTTTCAGGGTGTCTTTTGAAAACAGTGTGTGCCCTGGATTATTTTTATTTTTTATTATTCATTAATTAATTTATTTATTTTAAAGATTTTATTTATTTATTTGACAGAGAGACACAGCGAGAGAGGGAACACAAGCAGGGGGAGTGGGAGAGGGAGAAGCAGGCTCCCCGCAGAGCAGGGAGCCCGATGTGGGGCTCCATCCCAGGACCCTGGGATCATGACCTGAGCTGAAGGCAGACGCTTAACTGACTGAGCCACCCAGGCGCCCCACACCCCCCTTTTTAAGGCAACAATAATCTGTAACAAATTAACAATTTAAAAATTGTTTTTAAACAAGGTTTTAACTATCTTTAATTAATAAAAAATTTAGCAAAATTGGTTACTCATTCTCTTTTTTTCTCTTGTTACATCTCCTGGATGTGTTTCTCTTACTATTTATTGGAATAGTTTATCCAAAAGATATTTTCAAGTTGGATCTTTCTGGGAAAAATATTCTTTAGGTTTTATATGTTCAAAAATATTTTTAATACGCGGTTGTATTCAGAATTCTGAAAATTTCCTCCAAGTGTCATGTTAGTCACTCATCAAATGTTAATTTAGGTACTGCTGTGAAGGGGCTTTGCAGATGTAATTAAAGTGGCTACTCAGTTGACTTTAAGACAGGGAGATTATCCTAGATCATCTGAGGGGCCCAGTGAATCACATGAGCCCTTCAAAATGAAGACTTCTCAGACTGGAGGCAAGAGAGATGTGGCAGAAGGAGAGGTAGAGAGATGGGGCGCCCTATTGCTGGCCCTGAGTTGAGGGGGACCATATGCAAGATGGAGGCCCCTACAGGAGTTAAGGAGGGCCTCCAGCTGGCAGCCAGCAAGCAAGTGGGGCTCTCAGTCCAGAAACTCCAAGAAACTGGATTTCCTTAGCAATCTGAATGAGCAGATTCCTCCCAGTGTCTCTGGCTAAGAGCCCAGCTGCTCGGTGCCTTGACAGTGGCTTTGGGAAGCCCAGAGCAGGAAACTCACCGAGCCAGTTCAGACATCTCTTTTACATAGCTGTGACATAAGAAATATGTCTTGATTTAAGTAGCTAAGTTTGTGGCGATGTGTTATGGCTGCCATTAAAAGCGAATACATACACTCTCCTACTCGAATGAGAATATGACAGCATATGAAATTCTAGGCCCAGAGCCCTTTTCCTCCAACACTTGAGAGGGAATACCACTTGGACCTCCTGCAACCAGGATGGCTGTTGAGGAAATTGCTGTTGATCTATTTCCTTCGTACCTTTATAGTTCCTCGGGGTTCATTTGTGGCCGGGAGCCAGGAGGCTGCTCCACTGTTACCTCCATCCGCTTGATCCTGTACTACGCTAAGGGGACAGTCAGAGTTTCATGGATTTGGACGAAGATTTTGAACACTTTTTCAAGCACTAGACACATAGATGTGCTTATGGCTATGACATGTTCGCTGGATTTCTTTTGTTCAGGCACCGCTAGGCTTCCTTCCCCCCACCTTTTATAAAAATCAAATTTGTTGAGATATAATTTATAGGCAATCCTCCCCTTCTTTATGAATGCACATAGCTTCAAGTCCCTTGTCTTTGGAAGTATAGGAGAAGCATATGGGCATTTGGCCAAATTCTAAGGCGTGTTCTCAGGCTCTGGAAGTAAAAGCATATGAACGATGAATGCTATTACTCCAGCTATGCATCCTCCTAGCAACCCGTAAATTCTACAGAGAATCCTATTTCCAAGCAGTACTATCTTCAGGTTTGCAGAGGGGGAAAAAAATGAGTGATTTTTTTTTTTTTTAGCGACCACGGTTTAGCTCTGAGACAAAGTGAGCGTTGAGCTAGATTATATCACTTTCACTCAGGATCATTTTTCTATTCTATAAATTCCATAAAATCAGCCCACATAATGCTAGATTTATTATAAGTATGATAGGTAATAAAGTATCCAATCCCCTTTAGTCATTGGAAACACTTATTTTAATTCTAGGTTTTGAGAAATAAATAGCCACGTTCTAGAACCATAGCACCTTGAGAAACCGAACTCAGCTGACTTAATCAGATATTACCAGATATTTGTAGGGCTCTGACAGAAGCTTAATGAAGTATTCTATCTTAAATATTTATTTTTTGTTTATTTATTTATTTACTGAACATAGATTTATGTACTTGTGGCTTCCTTTTGCAGAGGAACTCAAGATATTTGGGTCTGTTGGTAAGCATGTCCTGTGCCACACTGAAAAATTTACTATTAGAAAGCATGCATTTCTAAAAATTGTAAAAAGTATTTATAAATCTGCCAATCCACTAGGAGTGCTAGCATAAGAGACAGTCCACTCCTATTTGCTTCTTAATTTTCACCAGAAATTTAGGTTTTTAAGGGTTAAAAATTCTATTGCAGAAGCTTAATGAATAACTTTAAATAGTTTAAAATACATTTAAAAAGTATACCTAAACTGTGTGAATTGTAGTAATGCTTTGCATCTGAGGAGAAATCACTAATTTTGGATTTAACATGCAGAGTGGCACCATAGGAAAATATGTAAGGTCAGGAGAATTGTACCCTTAAGGGTTCAAGTGAGCAATGAAAATACATATCATCAGAGTTACCATGGGATGCTTAGGCATTTTCTTGCAATGCGAGCATTTTTCTGCCCAGAAACTGCATAACTGACTCTTCAGCTCCAGGTGGCAGACACCACGTGGCACAGCAACAGCGGAGCAAGAAAACCACAGAAATTTTCTATTAGAAACCAAATGATTTCAAATCGTTCTTTTTGCAAAGCATTCTGGGTAAGGTCCCTGCTCCTCCCAACAAACTAACAAGCAAAGAACAGGGGCAACAATGACAACAGTTAAGTCTCTGATTTCTGCAGTAATGGATAAAAATTATCAATAGAGGGAATCAATATTTATCTGAAATAAAAAGGTATATGGACATAAAATGAAAAGCTAGTAATATACATTTTTCATGAAGATGTTTTGCTTTATTAGCAGGCATGTACTAAACATTTAATTACATCTCTATTTAACTAATCAGATAATTTTATTTTCCAGTTTTTCTGATTTTTTGGTGTGTATTACATTTTCTTTTATTTTTTCTCCCACAATATTGAATGCTTTAAAAAATTGCTCTTGTCAGAGAATGCCGTCCATTTTAATAACTGTCAAAATATTTCTTAACCCTTTGTAACAGTAAACCTTATCTCAAAGTTGTGTGCTTGCTTTCTGTTTGGTTTCTGCTTGGAGAACATTCTTATCTGATGTTACTTGAATTCTCCCTTATCTTTCCCTTTTTTTATAAGGACCCTTCTCGGTCTCCATTCTGAGCCAAAAAGATTCATCTTTGCATTTTTTTTTTTTTTTTTTAGAGAGAGAGAACATGTGAGCGGGCTTGGGAGGGAGGGGCAGAGGGAGAGAATCTTAAGCAGGCTCCATGCTCAGCATGGAGCCTGACGAGGGGCTCCATCTCACGATCTTGAGATCATGACCCCACCCAAAATCAAGAGTCAGACGCCCAGCAGACTGAGCCACCCAGGGACCCCTCATCTTTGCAATTTTAATAGCCTCTCTGCTTCCCCTCCTAGAAAACATTAAGCCAGCTACTGGTACTCCATGACTGAGTCAAAGTTTACTGCAACTGATACTCATTTTCTTACAAAACCAGGGCTAATCATTTGTTTGGTAGCCATTGGTGGGAAAGAGAAGAGATTGGGCCATAGTATGAGTGGTCAGGGACATGCCCTGGAAAAAGAGGAGGAGGAGTGGAAGGAAGAGGAAGAGGGTAAAAAGGGAAGAGACCTGTGGCAGAATTATATGAATCATAAACAGAGGTATCAGGTGGCAGAGTGTATGATGAGCACTTTTCTAAGAATTCTCTGACTCATTTATCACCATCCCCTTGGGCTCCCTCTAAATATGGGGGAAGTCTCTTGATGTTTCTTGAAGACACTGTCTAGGCTTTCCTCTCAGAGCTTAGGATTTTGGAAAAAAGAAAGGGGTCTTTTTAATTTTCTACTCTGCCATGAATCTCCCCTGAGGAAAAGGGCCCCCAAAGCTACTTGCTTAGGTGGGGAGAAGGGAAGGGGGAAATACAGAGAAAAATCTAACGTTTTTCTTTATGTTGCTATAATAGAGTCCACTCGGCTGACATAGGTCAGGTTAGATTTTATTCTCTTGAAGTTTAACCTGGATAAGACCACATGAAAATCATTCATCACTGCTATTCCTATGTGTCCTAACTGGTTAAGATTCAGGATGAATTTATCCATTTTTAACTGAGAGGTATGACATTTTAGGTTTAGAGTTTTGGCTCTCCATCTCCAAAGTGAGTGGGATATATAAATCCTTTTTAATAAGCACAACTGAGGTTACATGAGAAGGAAATTTATAAGGGCCAAACATGAAAAAAAGAACTGAAAAGCTGAGTGGTAAGCCAGGTGTGGACCCTGTGGTTTTCCCAGAGGTCGGGGGAAAGGGTAGGGAAGGTAGGTTGTTGGCCTTGGTATGCAAGAGGTTTAGATTTTACTCCTACTCAGGGACCCAGAGATTAGGCTATGGGCTTTTTATGAGGAGCTGGAACTGAGGTGGCATATAAAGCTGAGATATAAGACAAAGGTGGATTAGGAAAAAATCTGCTCAGGAGCACAAAGAGACAATTTAAAAGGACATAGCAAGCACATTTCTCTGTCTTGGCCTGCGTCCTGTGTATAAAAATAAAATAAACAAATAAAAGACTCCCCTAAGAATTAATAACTATAAGCTGTCCTTATTTGGCTTTCAGTTTAGAATTGACTCTGCCTGACCAATTCAAGAATCTCCAAGCCA